CTGTAATCCTAGCACTCTGGGAGACCGAGGCAGGTGGATCATTTGAGCTCAGGAGTTCAAGACCAGCCTGAGCAAAATCGAGACCCCGTCTCTACTAAAAAATAGAAAAAATTATCCGGGCATGGTCGCGCATGCCTGTAGTCCCAGTTATTCAGGAGGCTGAGGCAGGAAGATCACTTGAGCCCAGTAGGTTGAGGTTGCTGTGAGCTAGGCTGACGCCATGGCACTCTAACATGGGCAACCGAGTGAGACTCTGTCTCAAAAAAAAAAAAGAACTTTCCCCTATTAAACAATAAGTAAATAAAATAAAAAGACATATAACTAGTAGTTTTTGCTAGTCAGATTGTTTAAACAGCCTTTTTCTTTTCAAATTACACTTACATTTAACTCTTTATTCATTCAACAAATATCTGTAGAACATCAACTCTGAGCCAGGTACTGTTCTAGGTACTGAGGATACAGAAGTCAACGCAACAGAAAAAAATCTCTGCCCTTATGTGGCTTATGTTCTAGTTTAGGAAATAGAAAATAAAAATTAACTAAATATAGGTAAATTATATAACAGGTTAGAGAATGGTAAGTATTAAAGAGAAAAATCAGAAATGAAGAATGAGAATGCATGAGGTTGGTAGGGTTGTAACTCTAAATAAGACAGACCAATAAAATGATTAGAGTAGTCAGGGAAAGCCTCACTTGGAAGGTGACATCTGAGCAAAGACCTGAAAGAGGTGAGGAAGCTAAGCATACAAATATCTGGGGATAAATATTCAGGTAAAGGTAAAAGCAGTACAAAATCCACATAACAGAAGCTTCCCTGGCATGTTCAAGGAACTGAGGCAGTTTCTGAGGCTGCACTGAGTCCAGTGCAGCTGATGCAGAGAGATCCAGAAGAGAAGGAGGTAAAATCAGAAAAGTAAGGGGGTTGGCGAGCACTTTCACAATAGTAGACTAAGGACCTCTGAAAATCTCCTCCATAAAAGCATTAAGAATATTGGCAAAAATTGTCAACATCAACGTTTTCACAACTCTGGAAATTAACTAAAGCCTTGTCAAAATGCAAGGAGTATTGATTCAAGAAAAGTGGCTTGCCGGGCATGGTGGCGCATGCCTGTAGTCCCAGCTACTCGGGAGGCTGAGGCAGCAGGATCGCTCGAGCCCAGTAGTTTGAGGTTGCTGTGAGCTAGGCTGACTCCACGGCACTCACTCTAGCCTGGACAACAAAGCGAGACTCTGTCTCAATAAAAAAAAAAGAAAGAAAGAAAAGTGGCTGAACCTCAGTAAGAACAATGAGCCCTATAGCATTTTAACTTGCCCTATTCCCATCCCCCTCATGCCAGCTTTGAAGACCAGCAGCCTTGTGACTACAAGAGATGTGAAATCAGCAATTCATATGCTACTAGAGAGGACAGAACTGGTTTGGGGTTCCCAAAAATCACCACCCCCAAAGAACTGTCACTATATGACCTATGTGGCAGATCCCAAAAAGCTTTATCCTCAGGTCTTGTCTTTCTTTGACCTGATTCAGAGCTAACTATATACAAACAACCCTGTCCTGAGGGCATGTGTCAAAAAAAAAGAAAAAATCAGTGGCAATTTTTTACCTTCACAGCTTCCTGCAACTGATACCAACTGGGGCTAAAAGAGACTGACCAAAAACTTTAAAAACTTTTAACACTAGGGAATGAAAATATAAAACGTGTTCCCAGAAATCTAGAAGGACATGTGCAAGGCTATCCCATGACCAGGAAAGACCAGGCTAATTCGTCATCTCTAGCTGACCCTGACGCTTTGAGCAAGTATAAAATAAATGTTAAGGCAGAGCTGTAAATGCCTGCTAGAGCATTGAAAACATACCCTAACACACATAAGTCAGTGGCCTTACATGATGAGGAATACAAACTTCAGAGAATTAGTATCACAAAGTCACTAAACCAACAGCAGCAGTAGCAACAAAAACAAGCCCTGAGGTGAAGGTGAAACCGATTTCCAGAGTTGCCATATAATATCATTTTAAATGTCCAGGTTTCAAGAACAAATTATGAAATACTCAAGACAGTATGGCTTTTACAGGGAGGGGGAAAGGCAGTCAACAGAAACTGTCCATTAGAAGCCTAGACATTGGACTTACTAGATAGACTTTAAATCAGCTATAATAAATATGCTCAAATAACTAAAGGAAACCATGGTTGAAGAACTAAAGCAAGTATATCAGCAATGTCTCCCCACATATAGATTATCAATATAAAGACAGAAATGATTTATAAAAAAAAAAAAGAAGAAGGAAATAAATTCTAGAGTTGAAAAGAACAATATCTGAAATAAAAATTAACTACAGGGGTTCAACAGATTTGAAATAGCAGGAGAATCAGCAAACTTGAAGATAGGTAAATTGAGATTGTACAGATTGAAGCACAGAATGAAAAAAAAAGTTAAGGAAATTAAGTACAGCCTCAGAGACCCATGGGACAACATGAAAGCATACCAACATTCAGATAACAGGAATCCTAGGAGAGAATAGCCAAAAACTTCCCAAATTTGATTTTAAAAAATTAATCTGCACATCCAAGAAGCTCAACAAAAGCCAACAGGATAAAAGCAAAGAGATTGATATCTAGATCCATCATACTCAAACTGTGGAAAGACAAAGAGAGAAAAGCAACTCATCCCATAAAAAGATCCTCAATAAGATTAACAGCTGACTCCTCATCAGAAGCCATGGGGACGAGAAGGGACTAGCTTGACAAAGAATACTGAAAGAAACACTCAACCAAGAGTTCTATATACACTATATACAGCAAAATTATCCTTCAGAATGAAGTAAAATTAAGGCATTCTGACATAAACAAAAACAATACAACACTAGCAGACCTGACCAAAAGAAACACCAAAGGTAATCCTCAGGCTAAGATAGAGCACTTCACAGATTCTTGAATCCACAAGAACAAGTAAACAGCACTGGTAAGGTAATTACATAAATTAAAATAAACTAAATGACCGTGGTGGCTCCTGCCTATAATCCTAGCACTCTGGGAGGCCTAGGCAGGTGGATTGCTGGAGGCCAAGAGTTCGAAACCACCCTGAGCGAGACCCCATCTCTACTAAAAATAGAAAGAAATTAATTGACCAACTAAAAATATATATATTAAAAAAAAAAAAATTAGCCGGCCATGGGGCACATGCCTGTAGTCCCAACTATTCAGGAGCTGAGCAGGAGGATTGCTGAGCCCGAGTTTGAGGTTGCTGTGACTGGCTGATGCCACGGCACTCACTCTAGCCTGGGCACAAAGTGGACTCGTCTCAAAAAAAAAAAAAAAAAAAAAAAATACACTAAATATGCCAACTACAGTGGCTCAGCCTATATCCTAGCACACTGGAGCCAGAGCGACGATTGCTGGGAGCCAGGAGATTGAGACCAGCCTGGAGCAAGAGTGGAAGGTGGACCCATCTCTACAAATAATAGAAAAATCAGCCGGGCATGGGAACATTGACTGTAGCCAGCTATATGAAGGCAATGAGGAATCGCTTAGAGCCAGGAACTTGAGATTGCAGTAAGCTGTGATGATACCACTGCATTCTACTCTGGGCAACAGAGTGAGACCCTGTCTCTAAAAACAAACAAACAAAAAAACCAAACCCACATAAATATAAATGAGAGAGATATATATGAAGCCATGACGATAATTATAGAACTACAGAAATGAGCTTATAATGTATAAAGATATAATTGTAGGAGTCCACTGCTCAAGGTCCTCTGGCTCCAGGCGAAAAAGAATAAATTCGGTATGAGCAATAAAAAAGGAAGAAATAATGAACCTATATTATTTATTTATTTATTGAGACAATCTCACTCTGTCGCCCTGGGTAGAGGAACATGGCATCAGCCTAGCTCACAGAACCTCAAACTCCTGGGCTCAAGTGACCCTCATGCCTAGTCTCCCAGTAGCCAGGACTTACAACGTGCAGCAGCTAATTTCGGATATTTTTAGTAGAGAGGTGGCTCACCTTGCTCAGGCTGGTTTGAACTCTACCTCAGCAAGTCCTCCTGCCTTTGATCGCTAGGTAGTTACAGCATAAGACCGGCCAGCATGAACCTATATTAGAGCATATATAATATTAACTTAAAACAAGTAAGATGATGATGTAACAATAAAGATGTTCTAGATGTCACGAAAGAAGAAGCAACTTTTAAAATATATAGTAAAAGAAACAAAATTTACTCTAGCTCAGGCAACAGAGTGAGACTGTCTCAAAAAAAAAGCAACAAAATTTAAAGGGGTACATAGCCTCCTCTGCCTCCATTCACCCTTTTGAGATTTTTTTGTGGTTGTTGGTTTTTGAGACAGATCATTGCTCTGTCAATCCAGTAGAGTGCAGGGTGGTCGACTGTAGCTCACTGCAACCGCAACTGCCTAGACACAAGTTTCCGTATGCCTATAGCCTCCTGAGGAGCTGGCTATAGCTATGCACTACCGACACCCAGCTATGTTTTTCTATTTTGAGTAGAGAGGGCTCTTACTCCGAGGCTAGATTACAGCGGAGCCAACGCGCTAAAGCCCGGGGTGCTACTGGCGATGTGGGGTGGTTTTTTGTTGTCTGTTGTGGTTTGTTTTTTTTGAGACAGGAGTCTGACGCTGTGCCCGGCTAGAGAGTGAGTGCCATGGCAGTCAGGCTAGCTCCAGCAACCTCAAACTCCTGGCGTCAAGGATGCCTTTGCCTCAGCCCTCCGCGAGAGCTGGACTACAGCATGCGGCACCAGTGCCTGGCTAATTGTGTGTATATTATTTTTTGTTGGTCAATTAATTTCTTGTCTATTTTTAGTAAGCAAGACTAACTCCCTTTCGAATTTCTGGGATAAAGGCTGCCATATGTTTATGAAGACAGTTTTGCCTAAGCAATCTGTACAAAGACGGGTCTGGCACTTAGTCTGCAAGAAATATGCAGATCGAAAGTTCATCAACGAAGAGTCTTACCGTAGGTTGAGATGGAGGGAAAAATATAACCTCATGAACTTGCCAGAGTACACGTGTGCTACCCACATACGCATCGAAGACTGAATCATAAGTGCCAAATGTTTAATCAGTAAATTATGAACCCAGTGCTCTGTCAAACAGTAGGTCTTCTCCATCATACACACTAGCCGCGTAGGGCGAATAGCAGAGAGACGGCGAAAAACAGAGAAAGGGTAGGTGAGAGCAGTGGTTTCTGTGCTGATCAAAGACCTCGAAGTGAGAGGAATTGGAGTTCCCAGTCTCAGGAACATTAAAGTAGGCTCGATCTCAGTAGAACAGTGTGAGACACTAAGCACAGCTTCACTATGTCAAGCAGATGTCTTAGAAGAATGTCAAGATGGGATGGCATACAGACATATCAAAAATATAGAGTATTGTATTATCTGGCTATTGGTTAGCTAAAAATTACTAGAAGTCAAAGGAAAGAAGCCAGAGTACAACTGAAATTCAACTGAAAACAAAAATGCAGACGAACTGTCTGGCAGACTTGCTCGTGACATGTGCCCTCCGGGACAGAAGCCCAGAAGCATCCACAGCATGTGAAGCAGGGTTGGATGGAAAAGCAATCCCAGTTCCACTAAGGACTTCCATGTTTGCATAATGGATATTTACGAAACTGCAGGAAGGAGGGCCAGTATTACCACAATTCCCTGAGGAGCCTTCAGAGCCTGCCAGACTCCCCCCACAACCCGTCAGTGCCTTCCTGCAGGCAGCCAATCGACATCCCAAGTTCAAGGCACATGTCTACACCCAGCAGCTGTGGAGTGACGTTGAAGCCAGACATCAGAGCTCGGGTCTCACTGCTCAGCTGTTTGAAGATGGCATGGAAGGCTGCTAGCTCAGAGAATTCGTCTGAGTCTTCAACACAACCGACAAGTTTAAGAACTGAGCAACAGCAGCACCCCCCCCACCCTCACCCTGTGTCGTAATTCCAGAGTAACAGAAGAGACTGATAACCAGGTGTCCGTTACAGCGAGAGCAGCGCGAGTACCAACTAGTAACAGGAAGGAAAGTTGTTTAAAGTCTCTGTCAAAGCAAGTTCAGCTCTCCATCTGAGCAAGAATATCCAAGATGTCACCGAGAAACGCTGATGAGAGTCTAAGACAAATTAATACCAGTCTGATTGACAAACGCTTCAATGTGCAGGTGTAAAACGGGTGGAGGAATAGAAGCTCCTGCCTCATAACGTCTTCCCCGCGACGCAGAGCCAGGAACGGCCCCCCAACCTCTTCTCTTTCAACACCGTACAATTGTCAACATCTATTCCCAAAAGTGCTTGCCGCAGAATATAGCTGCTGAGTGCCACCAATTCCGGGCGCAATAATCGCTGGCAGGAAAAAAGGAACGAGTTGTTGCCTCTTACTATTGTGTGGTTGTTGTTTGTTGTGTTTTTGAAGAAGGCCATTAGAATAATGCTGTGATGAAAGCTATTACAACAATCAGGGAGCCTATGGAGAGGGCAAGGACACCCGCATGAAGAGCAACTCTGCTGAATCTGCACATACACAGAAAACGACAAAAGTGGCGGATAGTATGTTAAGTTAAAAATGGACACGAATTCGATTTTTATTCCCCATTGCCCAAAATTCTACAGTCTTTCGGAGATCGATGGCTTGCAGACCCCCTTGTGCCAACTCATGGGAACGAAGAGTTGGGCCTCACAGTAAAGCATTTTAAACAAACGTGCTGCCAGTTCTAGCTCTGTTCTGGCATAGGAGACTCTAGTATGTTGTAATTGATCAGAAGACACAATTTTAAAGTGAGAGTGGGCCGGCGAGAGCAAGAGCAAACACAAGCGCCTGAAAGTTAGAAAGAGCAGATTCTGCCGGCTGTGGCGACGCTGTAATCCTAGCATCGGAGCACAGCAGGTGTGGTCTTTTGAGTTCTGCAGTTTCAGATCAGCCTGAGCAAGAGCGATTACCCCTTCTCTAACTAAAAATAGAAAGAAATTATTTGACAGCTAAAAATATATACAGAATTAGCCGAGACGATGGTGGGCATGCGTGAGTCAGTACTCGGAGCTGAGGCAGGGTTAGCTTGAGCCCAGAGTTGTGAGGTTTTTTTGTGTGGAGAGCCGGAGCTGAGCACGGCACTCACTCTGCCGGGAAACGAGAGGAGGACTCTGTCTCGAAAGAAAAAAAAAAGGGAAATGAGGCATTTAGTGAACCGTAAAAATCTGTACCCCCGATATATGCCGAATAAAAAAGAAAAAAAAGAACTTAAAAAAAAAAAAAAAAAAAGAGCCGATTCTTCAGCAGCTGTATTCGTCTAACAAAGAAGGACCGTGCAAGCCAGCTCTGAGGCAGCCGAGCTCGATGCGGAGATGGAGCCTGAAATGCTCGTAGGGAGAGGGCGGCGCTCCAGAGTCCAGCCAGGCAGAACACCGCCTCCAAGTAGCAGCGAACGGAGGAAGCGCAAGAGAGGAACTCGGGCGCCTTGAGAAAGGGGCTGCGAACTCTGGGGCACCACCTGCCGGGCACGTGCTCCACAGCCTGTAAAGGCACGATCCCACTCCTAGGAGGACCGAAAGCCAGCCTGAGCAGGAATGGGAGGCGCCGCGTGGGAGCGCTGAGCCCGCGCAGCGCTCGCGAGCCTGGGCGCGCTCACGCAGCGGGGGTCGATGGCCTCACCGACCCCTACGGTGTCGCCTACCGATCTTCTCTGGCGGGAGACCGCGTCGGCGCTCCCGGCACCCCAACTGCAGAGCAAAACCACAGCGCCAAAGCGCGAGACGAGCTCTGAGAAGGGCGCCCATGTCTCCCTAGTGCGCAAGGTACGCCGCGTTCGCTGGCTCCTGCCACTGGGGGTGCTGGGTCAGAGGTGTCCCGCGAGAGTTTAGCAGCTCCGCGCCACCTCGCCCCAGCCAGCCGCCCCTTCCGGCGCCAGCCTCGCCGCCTCCCTATCTAGCCTGGCCACGCCGCTGGAGTGCCGAACCGCCCACCTCATCCCCCCATCCTGGCAGACTGCCGCGGTTCTGCCCGCCACGCCCCGTCGCTCGTTTTGTCCAGCCGACCTCCAGGAGCTCTGCATCATGGGGCGCTCCGCCTCAAAGCCACCGCACCCCGCCCAAAGCCACCTCTTAAAGACGCCAAAGAGCACAGTTGGGAGGGGACCCTCCGACTTGGCACATTGGCCCCGGTTATTCGTGAAAGCACCTGTATTGCTTCAGCGGTGACCTTTGCCTTTCAATCACTCCTCTCAGAGAAACGCAACACACAGCATGATCCGCGCAGACAGAACCTGGCAACGCCAGCAGGCGCACGATAGATCGCTACGTTCCGGGGACTGTTAGGTGGGTGATGAGTGGGCAAACGGTGCAAGGTGAAATAAAAATGAGGGAGTCTGGGGATGGGGTGGTCTGAGGTGAAGGTACTGGAATAGTAGTGACTAATAGCATGAATAATAGTAGTATATCTGGAAGGAGACCAGAATGTACCACCCCAAAATATGCCTCTTTGCAAGCGCACCCCAAGGGCCATTCAGACTATACTGCTAGGATAGCTAAAGGGAAGCCATTGTGCTTCTGGTTTGCATTTGGCTGGTTTTAGAACTAAACTATTGCTTGTTTTGTTTTGTTTTGTGACAGAGTCTCACTCTGTTGCCTGGGCTAGAGTGCTGTGGCGTCAGCCTAGCTCACAGCAACCTCAAACTCCTGGGCTCCAGAGATCCTCCTGGGCTGGGCGCTGTGGCTCATGCCTGTAACTCTAGCACTCTGGGAGGCCGAGGCGGGCGGATTGCTCCAGGTCAGGAGTTCAAAACCAGCCTGAGCAAGAGCGAGACCCCATCTCTACTATAAAGAGAAAGAAATTAATTGGCCAACTAACATATATAGAAAAATTAGCGAGCATGGTGGTGCATGCCTGTAGTCCCAGCTACTGGGGCAGCTGAGGCAGCAGGATTGCTTGAGCCCAGGAGTTTGAGGTTGCTATGAGCTAGGCTGACGCCAGGGCACTCACTCTAACCTGGACAACAAAGCGAGACTCTGTCTCCAAAAAAAAGATATCCTCCTGCCTCAGCCTCCCAAGTAGCTGGGACTACAAGTATGTGCCACCGTGCCCAGTGCTGTGGCATCAGCCTAACCTCAAACTCCTGGGCTCAAGCAATCCTACTGCCTCAGCCTCCCGAGTAGCTGGGACTACAGGCATGCGCCACCATGCCCGGCTAATATTTTCTATATATATTCCTTGGTCAATTAATTTCTTTCTCTTTATAGTAGAGACGGGGTCTCAATCTTGCTCAGGCTGGTTTCGAACTCCTGACCTTGAGCAATCCACCCGCCTTGGCCTCCCAGAGTGCTAGGGTTACAGGCGTGAGCCACCATGCCCGGCCCCAGCTAATTTTTTATATATATTTTTAGCTGTCCAAGTAATTTCTTTCTGTTTTTAGTAGAAACGGGGGTCTCGCTCTTGCTCAGGCTGGTTTCGAACTCCTGACCTTAAGTGATCCTCCCGCCTTGGCGTCACAGAGTGCTAGGATTATAGGCGTGAGCCACCGTGCCCGGCCTAGAATTAACCTGTTGCTTATTGACACAGCTAACGGGTCACCAGATTAGAAAATGATTTTTAATATAAACAGATCAAGAGTCCGGAACAGGCCTACTGCAAACAACTGATAACAAGATCCTGATGATCTACTGTTGACTGATACCTAGTGAACAAGTCAGGATGACTTGCACAAAACTTGCTTTCTGCTCTAGGTACACCCTTTACCATTCCTTTTATATTACTTGATAAATTTCTCAGTCATCAGAGAAAGATGAGATGGTCTTTAAGACAATACTCTGCCATCTCCTCAGTCAGGCTCCTGGCACTTGAATAAACTACTTTTCCTTCACCAACTCTCCTCGCCTCTTCATGTTTGGTTCTTAGGTGACGGCAGCCAAACCTGCCTTCAGCAACATCCTTAGCAGTAAGGACACTTTTGAGCTGAAGGCAATTGAGAACTCCCTGGATACACAAAAAGCTCTCTGTCTTCTTTTATTTGCCTAAAAGCAGGACATAAA